TTAATCAGCACAGCAGTTTTCAGCTGTACTAACATAATTGCAAAAGGGTTTTATAATGATCAATTAGCCTTTTCAAATGATAAACTTGGATTAGCAACCACAACGTGCCAATGGAACACAGGACTGATGGTTGCTGATAATGGGCCTCTGTACGCCTATGTAGATATTCCATTTAAAAAATCAGCTGTTTCCAGCTACAATAGCCATTTACAACATTAACAATGTCTACACTGTATTTCTGATCAATTTGATGTTATTTTAAAGGACAAAAAAATTGCTTTTCTATCGAAAACAAGGACATTTCTAAGTGACCCTAAGCTTTTGAACGGTAGTGTACCTAACTACTCCGCACCCTCACCCCGTTCCTTACCCCTACCCCTCCAGAGCCCTGTATGGCTTGTCATGTCACAAAGAGGTGCCACAAAGAGGTGAGAGCGAGTGTGAGGGATGAGGTTGCCAGTCCCTGTCCACGTCCGCATGCCCTTCTAAATATAGAGAGGTAGTTTCCTGTGTCCTGTAATACGGGGCATTAAAACAGCAAAGGCCAGGCCAGCGGACAGGAAGAGCCAGCATGAGGCCCAGAGAGCCTGGCGTACCACACATTCCCCCCAGCTGTCAATCAACAGGCCAACCCAACATTACATCAGAGGGATACTAAATATAGTATAGTCGCTCAGGTACGGTGTCTGCACTATATTCTCTCTGGCACAGTGTTGGCTGTTGGTTCCAAAGTATTATTGAAAAATTATTAGGGGTTCACAGCTAAATAATAAGAATTAGCACATACTCTAATATGCTAAAAGGTGCTAAAAATACATACAAAATCTTATTCTCATGAACCGTAGAACCAAATGACACCAAACTTTGGAATGTAGGTCCATGGTGCATGTCTTAACGTAGTTTGAGAAAAGCTAATTGGTCAAAAGATGGCTGATTTATTGACAAATCAAAAATCTGTTTTTATGTTTAAACCACCGTAAATCCACTCCACAGTGGTCTATCAACTTGAAACTCTGTCATCGCGATCATGGACATCCATAAGATGAACCACACTGAATTTAGTATTAATCTCTCAAAAAACAAGTAAACTATTAACAACTCATTCTTTGCATGTGTAGCGATAATGCTCAAAATCATCTGCAATCGTCTTCTCCTCATGAACCATACATCAGATTCACTCCAGCTTTTGTATTTAGACTAATTACACAAGTCTTTAATGTTTTTGAGTAAAACGTGTTGCTGCATTCAAAAATGGCCACACTGTACCTATAGATGCATGTGTAGCAGCGTCAATCAATTCACGTACTACTATCAAGATGGCTAGCGTTCAGTGCAACTCGATTGTCTCTTTGAAAGAAGTTCACATCAAAGACCATTCAAAACGAGCTACTGGAGTGTATGCTAGCGGTCATGAGGGAACATATTGTGGAGGAGGTGAAGTCGGCGAACTTCGTAGCTATCCAAGCTGACGAGACCACGGACGTTTCTACACAGACACAGCTGGTGCTGAGGTACAACCACAAAGTGCAGGAGCGCTTTTTTGAGTTCCTTCCCATCTCGGAATCAACCTCAGTCTCAATCGCCAGTGTGCTTTTGGAGAGACTGAACGGTCTTTTTGCCGACGACGAGAAAGTCAAACTCATTGCGCAAGCTTACGATGGAGCCAGTGTGATGAGGCGAGAGAAGGCTGGTGTGCAGCAAAAGGTACGTGAGCATTTCAAGAATGCCCATTACGTGCATTGCTATGTGCATCAGCTGAATTTTATCATGCAGCAAGCTACTTCTCGCATCAAAAAAGTAACTAGTAAACTAGTCCTCAGCATGCCTGATTTCAATGAGAAAGTCATTGACCGCTTTGCTGCATTGAAAGAGAGAAGAGAACAGTTTCAGTACAAGTAATGTAGCCTCTCTCTCTCTTTGTCCCTCCCTGTCTGTCTCTTTAACACACACACGCCCAAATCAGTTCACAGTTGATGTTGTTTAAAATAGTTATTTTTCATTTTAAAAAAAGTAAAACTTTTTTTTTACAAATCTATACAATTGGCCAGAATATGGTTGTTCATATTTACAAATCTATACAATTGGCCAGAATATGGTTGTTCATTTTTACAAAGCCATACAGATAGCTGTGTTTACCTTTTCTAGAAATTATTTTCAAATTCTGTTTTCAGGCAAAATGTCTATCACTGTTCATTTTCACAAATCTATACAAGAGGGCAGAATATGGAAGTCTATAAAAATTTCCTACTACCAATAACTTGCATCAATGTTTTCAGTAGCCTCTCACATATGCTACTGTAGTTCCTACATGATAGAGAGTTTGCTTTGTTATCCAACTGATCTTGTGTGCTTTCTGTCAACCTGTGAACCCCGTTCATTGATGCTCGCAGTTATATTTTGAATGTGTTTAGTTTGTGATGGTGAGGAGTAAAATCTTTTTTGTAAAGCCCTTTAATATACTCAAACCATTATCTTTTTTGTGTTTCAAATTTTAGGAATTTTGGAAATGCATTGCTTGACAATTCAGATCATAGCATGTGGAAATCCTAGGTCCACCATCTGAAAATAATTGGCTAATCTACAGAGTTGCATGTACTGTAGGCCTATAGAGAGTCCTGCTTTCACATCACACCAAAGCATTAACACACTAATACACTCCAATAGCCTATATGTGCTAATATGTGTGTGTACGTGTGTGTGTGTGTGTGTGTGTGTGTGTGTGTGTGTGTGTGTGTGTGTGTGTGTGTGTGTGTGTGTGTGTGTGTGTGTGTGTGTGTGTGTGTGTGTGTGTGTGTGTGCGTGCGTGCGACAAACAGTCACTCCACCGACTTGGCATGATTTAAATGTGTGAACTGCTGTTAGCATTGCGTGTGAACATGATCTCCTGCTTAGCCGTGAGGATTGTCTCTCAATACCCTACAGGTCTTAACAAGTATGCACCATACCATGCCATCCACAGTGTCAGATAACACTATGTTTAGGGACTTTCAGTTCCCTTTGATGGGCTGCTGTGCTCAAACAAAGGCCATCACCTTCAGGAAGTGCCTCAGGAACTGAATGTGTGTGTGTGTATGTGTGTGTGCCCCAAACGCCCCAACCTGGAAAAACCAGTCCTTCAGTGATTCAGTCAGTGTGACTGGAATCACTATGTGTTCTGATTATGTACAGCACATGTTCAGTAACATTTTGGACGAGTTCCCAAAAGAACATAATGTGCCAGTGAGACACATCATGTTATACAACACTGGTGGTGTGACAACGTGTTAAATGTTATTTGTATTGGATAATTGCTGCATTTGAGAGATTAGATGTCTTAACCTTTGTGGTTAAAGGACACCCATATATTTGTGAATGGCTCCTTCTGAGTCATCTGGCTGATGATTGTCACGCACACACACAGTATGTGCAATGGTTTAAGTGGAACCGAGGAGTCGGAGTCCACTTACAGTACATAATGTCAACAAACTGTTGAGGAATGAAAAAAGACATTGGTAGAAGTAGACAAAATAGTAATTTATTAATAACTTATAATTTCTTTACATTCGTAAGAGAGGAGTGTATACTCGAGGAGCGGTGGTTGTTGAAACCAAAATGTCTTTCCCCCATAGACAGGCTTTCTCTCAGAAGGAAGGACAACAAAATCATTTTTTTCTCAACCAATAAAAAACGGCATTTCACAGAGGCAAGGTGAGCAAGGCCTACTGCTTTGTCAACATCTCCCAGACTTTGAAAAGCCTTGCTCACAGATAAGAATTCACTTCTGTTAACCCTCATTGTTCCCCACTAAATAACAACATAAACAGAAGGTAGCAATCTTTGGCTTCCAAAAAGCTATTTCTATCTAACTTAACTGAATAACAACTCAAGTTTCTTAACATAGCCATGCACTGACAGTTTCAGTGATTTGTTGTAAAATTATTATAAAAGTAATTTTGCTATGGTTCAATTTGGTAGAATTGTGATAGGTGGTGAAAGCATAGCTCGGGCAAAGTCCTTTGAGGGTTAATGCACGATAACACATCTATGTACAGAACTAAGGCATACAACCAAGGTGACTTTTATTTGGGTGAGGGTGGGTGCAAAAAAGGCCTGTCGGCCGAATTCACATATAAAGCAAATATGAAATATATTACACATATATATCTTTTTACGATTCTTGGAAAACCTACTAAATTTTTTGGCATAATAAACTTAAACATACTGATCAATGTACAGTTGGTTTGCTTAAATAAAGTAGAAGATGAAAAAAAAGTATCTTCAGTACCCACTTGTTGCAAAGGGTATACTAGAGCAAGGCTTTACTTTATTGTCTTTTATATTAAGATATATACACATGTATAAATGATTCAAATGACTCCACACATGTAAAATGTAGTTCAATATACTGTGGCGTCTTAACCAGGGGTGTTTCAACCCCAAACAGGCAAATCTTCACAGAAGACAAGTAATATGCACCCGAAAAAAAGTATTGAAGGTGCAAGTGCTAGCCCAAAAAACAAAAAGTATTTATAATCATATATATGTTCAGATAGAACAATCCTGTCTCTTTGGCACACCAGCCTTTCGTTGTGAAGTTAAACGTACACTTGACCACCAGATCACTTTACGTCTCTTTCAATGCATTGACAGAAAAAAATCAAGGCAAAAACCTAATCCAGTCCAAAAGCGATATAGGGTTCTAGAAAGTTAATGTGCTTTCTTTTTCTCTCTCTTCCCCATCTTCTCTCTTTCATTCATTCATTCATTCATTCATTCTTTCTTTCTTTCTTTCTCTGTCCCTGTTTTTGCAGCAGCTGCTTCTGAGCCTTCGGGCAGATCGACCACGTGCCCTTTCAGCAGCCATGCTTGGCAGCTGGTAACCTCAAGCCAACTGTGTCAATAACGGCAGGATGTCACCATGTCACAACAGGTGACGGAAATAAAGTAGAGAAACATTGCAGCGTTTCAGGTTTCATTACACCTCCGAGCCAGTAAGGGGCGACGATGGCACTGCCTCACGTGGACTCCAGAGGGTCCAGCTGGAAGACGTTGTGGTTGGTGGGGGTGGTGAAGTACAGGGGTTGTGTGGGGGCCGCCACCCGGTTATCACAGAGGCTCTTCAGGCCCAGGGTGCGCTCAAAGTCCAGGAGCTGGCCCATGAAGTTGAAGTTGGGCGAGATGTTGGACTTCTTCATCTTGACAATGTCGTAGGCGTCGTTCATGGACAGGTTGAGCTTCTGCATGAGGTACGCCACGGTGACTGTCACCGAGCGGCTGATGCCGGCCAGACAGTGGACCAGGACGCCGCATTTCTGACTGCGAGCCTCATCTGAGAAGGACAGGAAAAAAGAAGAAGAACATGTTATAGACTTTTGTCAGATATGCATAATGTGTATTCTGAGAAAACACAGCGATACAAAAACAATTGCTCTGAACATATAGATACTGAAAAATAAACTTAGGCTGTGGAAGGACTAGTGGAAGGGCTACCAGATAAAACAGTGCCTGTGGACAACATTGACTAAACCAGTTCCACGCTTAAGCGGCTGAAGTCTGAAACGATCATAACAGTCTCAGGCCCAGACACATCCATCAACAAACGGCTGTGGTACTCTGCGCATAAACAGAGCCGACATTCTCTAATTTGGCCTGGAGTACCACGACTTGGAAATTGACTATTAACGCTCTATCAGGCTTCCCGAGTTACTTGACATTGGTGCCATTTGGGCGTATAAACGTAGGAGTCATGAGGGCACCCTGTCAGGGCTAACAGGATGACAACAGAGCCTGTAAATGGTTCTCTTTGTGAAGGGAACACATCGCTGGGCTGTCCTAGATTACTTTCAATGGCCGCTTCCTTCCTGTTGTGCTCAAATTACCCCCTCCCTCTGCTCTTTCTCCCCCTCTCCAATTTCCACACAGGCCTTTGTATTACAATTACACAAGCCTGAGGTAAGCTAGGCCCCGGCTGCAGACCAAAAAAGCAGGAAGTGTTCCATTGAAGTTTAATCATTGTAATTTGGGAGTAGTTTATTGTTATGGGCCATAGAACTAGAATAGTATTTCTCTGCTTGGCACAATGGACTTAATCTTGTTCCCTCTGTATTATTCTCTTTGATTGACTGATAAGAAAGTACTCCAGGACATGTATAATCCAAATTGCACAATAATAACTAAAGAACTTCCTGGTGATAAGATATCTTATTAATAAGTGTAAATTCCCATACTGTGGGCCTGTGGCTTTCACTAGTTAGGCTAATATAGGCCTAAATGTACAACAACTACATTTTTTATCCTGAATTCATTCTGAGGTGATATAAAATATACCTGTTTTATTTATTAACCCTGTGCGTTAAAATGAATTATTGTGTGTAAATTAGAATCGGAGAGGTATCCGTGTGCTTGAATATAAGTTATTGGGCTTACCTATGAAGCTAATGGCTTCCGGGAAGAACTGTGACAGATTCTGGCTCCAGTGATCAGAGATGGGGATCTGCTTGTACTTGAATTCCCCGGCGTTCTCGAACATGTTGGGCAGGTTCGGAGTCACGTTCAGAATGTACTTGATGCCGAACTCTTCCAGAATGTCCAGGTTGGTGGAATCCTTGGCGCAGCCCAGGTAGAGGTGCGGGAGGATCTCCACTGGGAAGGAGGGCTGGGGGTTGGAGAGGGGACTGCCGTCTGAGTCTGTGGCGCTGCTCGGGTCCCTGTCGATGTCAGACTCGATGTCGGAGGAGTCGGAGCTTATCCGCAGCCCCCCGAGGCCGAGCACCTGGGCAGTGGGAGAACTGCTATTGAAACAGCCATCAAGATTGGTTTCGCACAGGGCAGGGAACTCGGCTTGGAATTTACTGAAACCACCTGTAAGATGAATGAAATAATATTGTTAGACAAATCCATTGATAAAAACATGCCGAGGCTACACAATGTGGTGACCTAATATATTTGCATTATCCTATTCGTTTTAGCGCCAAATGCATCCAAATATTCACTTATTCATTATTAATTAATTTACCGAATTAGGCCAAAATTTTAGTGGAAAATATGCGCTTCTGGAAAAATAACAACTTCACTCACCCTCAAGGTAAAACGCCTTGTAGCCCTCGTCTTTCATCCTCTTCAGCAGCAAGCCCAGCACGGAGCCCCCGTCGACATTTTCGTTCCATTCCCTGCTGTACTCGTCATACAGCACAATAGTGTCCGTCTTGCACCTCCGCGCAAATCTCTCCCGGTCCTCACCGTTTGAGAGTAGGGACTTGATGGGAAGATTGCCCTTCTTCAGCCGCCGGAGCATCAGGCTCGGGATGGCCACGTTAATCGCCGTTTCGACGTGAGAGGACTCGTATAGCTCCAGCGCTCTGCAGTCCATTACCAATAGGCAGTCTTTGCGCGTCTGGAGCTGCTCCTGCAGCCACTCCACGGTCTTGCTGATCGCCATTACCGATTCGAACTGAACGGGCTTGGGCTTGTCAAGCATTTAGCAAAACAAATATGTTAACTTCAATGCAGGAAAATTATGTGGTCGGTCCCTGTAGGCTACAGCAAAAGGCCTTCAACAACAGAACGTTATGACGACTGGAGCATTGAGGAAATGGCAGCGCACACTGGTCGAGAAAAAATTATATTCTGGAATAACTGCAGAAATGAAAACGGATATAGGCTATTGCATTTATCACGAAAATTAGCAAAACACGAATGTTTCTTAAATATTCGACTGCAGATTGCCTATACACTAGCACTCATTCATGCAGCCGCTGGAAGAATGTCCATGTATTTATCAATGACTCACTGGCCAGCACTGACGTTGTCTTCGTATTATATAACTCAGGATTTTGCAGTAGAAAATATTCTTCTTCTGTAAAAATCAAAATTAGACGGATTGATTGCAGGACAGTTGCAGATAAAAGGCATTTGTAATCATTTCCAATGATGTATTTCTTCTAATGTCGTCTATCCCCAACGTTCTCGTTGTGAATAAGCCTATTTTATTGTTGTCGAGGCTGGAACGTTGATGATGCGCTCTCCGCAGCGCCAAGCTAGTGAATGGTTACAAACGCGAGGCCTTTCAATGGATACATTATATCAGCCAGCCAATCAGAGGGCGCCGAGCAGTCGTTGCCCTGGAAACGAGGCCGGATGGAAGAAACTGTGTTGATGAATTGTTAATATGTTTGTCATTCACAAAAACGGAAAGTAATTTCCGCTCGGGATCAAGTGAGTGCAAACAAACAGAAGCGGCACTGCAGGGGAAGGAAGGAGAGGGCTTTTACTTAGAGGGTAGAGGGGGGGAATCCTTCCTTGTGCTCAGATTTCTTAATGCTAAAGTTGCGCTATGACAAGTGATTTGCACGGTGAGGCAGAGTTGTAGAAAGGTAGCCTATTTGCGTACGGGACACATGATTGTACTTTGGAACCTTTTGGAACCTCTGTCTAAATGCATCCGTTTTTCATTGTTGCATTTTGTCAATGAAATAAAACAATTGTATGATTCCATAAAATGTTAAACAATTTGATAAATGAATTGATATATTACAATTACAACACTCTTCTAATTTAACATGGTTTGTAAAGTACAGTACCAGTTAAAATTTTGCACATACAGTTGAAGTCGGAAGTTTACATACACCTTAGCCAAATACATTTAAACTCCGTTTTTCACAATTCCTGAAATGTAATCTTAGTACAAATTCCCTGTTTTAGGTCAGTTAGGATCACCACTTTATTTTAAGAATGTGAAATGTCAGAAAAATAGTAGAGAGAATGATTTAATTCACTGGAATTGTGATACAGTGAATTATAAGTGAAATAATCTGTCTGTAAACAATTGTTGGAAAAATTACTTGTGTCATGCACAAATTAGATGTCTTAACCAACTTGCCAAAACTATAGTTTGTTAACAAGACATTTGTGGAGTGGTTGAAAAACGAGTTTTAATGACTCCAACCCAAGTACCTACTCATTCCATTTCTTTATTTTTACTATTTTCTACATTGTAGAATAATAGTGAAGACATAAAAACCATGAAATAACACATATGGAATCATTTAGTAACCAAAAAAGTGTTAAACAAATCAAAATATATTAGTAGCCACCCTTTGCCTTGATGACAGCTTTGCACACTCTTGGCATTCTCTCAACCAGCTTCACCTGGAATGCTTTTCCAACAGTCTTGAAGGAGTGCCTACATATGCTGAGGACTTGTTGGCTGCTTTTCCTTCACTCTGCGGTCCAACTCATCCCAAACCATCTCAATTGGGTTGAGGTCGGGGGATTGTGGAGGCAAGTTCATCTGATGCAGCATTCCAGCACTCTCCTTCTTGGTCAAATAGCCCTTACACAGCCTGGAGGTGTGTTTTGGGTCATTGTCCTGTTGAAAAACAAATGATAGTCCCATTAAGTGCAAACCAGATGGGATGGCGTATCGCTGCAGAATGCTTTGGTAGCCATGCTGGTTAAGTGTGCCTTGAATGATAAATAAATCACCAGCAATGCCAAAGTTAAAGTTCGCTTACACGCCTACATTAAAAGGACCAATAAACATAAATTCTGCTCACAGCTAATTTGTCCTATAATAACAAAACAGATGCCATACATACATTTTGCTAAGGACGTTTCTACTTAAGCAATAAGGCCTGAGGAGAAGTGGAATATGGCCAATATGCCAAGGCTTAAGCATGACGCAAAGCAGAGTGCCTTATTGCTATTATTAACTGGTTACCAATATAAATATAATACTAATCCTCAAATTAAAACCAGAAAAAAGACATTGTTGACCCTGTGTTTGTTGTCTGCAGCCATATTGGTATAGGCCTATCTCCAGATTCTGTGATGTCTTCTCTCACACCTCAGTAATCTGAACTGCCTTGCATGATGTCACAAAACAGTACCACAGAAGACAATAGTGTTTATCTTGTGAAATCTTAAGGCTCTTTTAAGTTAAAGTTGTTATAAAGCAGGGATGTCAAACTCAATCAGTGCACAGGGCAATATTGAAAAACACAACAAATTTGTGGGCCAGACATAGCCTATTATGTTTGTTTTCACACAAAAAACGTGCATACAACTGCAAAAATGGCCATTGTTTTAATTGAACAAATGTGGCTCTTTATAATGTCCACTGATGTACATAGGATGCTGTATATAGCATTTTAACATATTAAAACAAAAGAAGAGATAAAAAATATGTGTCCAGACTTTGTTGCTATGCTTGCAGATGTGCATAATATGCTAATCAAAAAGCATTTAACAACTCCAAATAACAACAACATAGCTAGGTTGTTGTAACATTTAAACTGAAAACATATTTTTCATTTTGTGGTACTGCATGGATCACCGGTGCGATTGAATGCAGCATTGTTGTACGGCGCACTCAAAATGTCTTTAGTTGAGTAGCCAGTCTAGGCTATTGCTCAAATGTTGCCGTAATAGACCTACATGTTTCTCATTTGCATGGTGTTTTGTTGCAGGTTTTGTTTTTTTTAGTTATTAATTGACAAGCTTTAAAAACCGAAGCCAGACTGCAACATTTTAGTAGCCTAGCTAGGACTGTGGCATGTGTCTGTACACTTTCCCTCCTCTGCACGCTGTAAACCTGACACAGGAAAATCAGCGCAATTGACATTGAATTCAGCAATGCAAGCTCACAAGGCTGTAATTTCAAGTATACTTTTTGACAAGCAAGATTACATTTTCTGTAGGCTACAGCAATGACCTGTTGGTACCGAAACTTGGCATAGACATTTAGCCTACAACACGTTTAAACTTTCGGTCCGGTAGAAGATTCGGTCAGTGCCATTAGTGATATGATACAGGGCACTGGCTGGCTGTGTGTGGGTGTGGGGCTGGGAGGAGGGGTGTGTGGCAATGCACTGCATGCAGCAGGTTGGCAGTGCTTGCAGTGACTTGTAGTGCAGCACATCGCAGACTGTATGGAAGAGGGCCAAAATTAATTGACAACCCAAATCGTTGCGCATGCCAGATAGAAATACAAAAGCCTTCATAACACAGTCATAAGAAAACCTAACATGCCAAGGTATGACAATAGTGATAATATCATGCCACTGTATTTACTGAACTTAACTAGGGTAAAAGTTTACTGAATTGTACTTGGGTGACATAATGAGCTTAATTTTTTTTAGAGTAACTAGTGTATAGGGCTAGTCCCATGCAAGCACGCATGCACACACACACACACACATTCTCTGTCTTTCAGGAACAAATGGCCCCTGCCCCCTTTACTCCCTCCCCCTCCCCCACCCCCCTTTCTCTCTCCACCACCCTCCCTCCCTCGCTCTCCTGCTAATCTACTTGCCCTCCTCGTTGTTTCTCAGCCACTGGGTGCTTGTTGTCTAACTGGGAAATCCTTTGTCCGTTCACAAAAGCTCCCTATATCCAGCAGTCGTGAGGTCTGGACTGGAGCCGCGCCACTGTACAGATGGGGTCGGGGAGGGAGTGCGTGTGTGCATGTTTGTGTGTGAGAGCGTGAGGGAGAGAGAGATTGAACTAGAGAGAATGTGTGTGTGTGTGATAATGTGTGTAGGCTGAACAGGGTAGGAGTTTATCTTTCTGTAACTATGGCCTGTTCACAATATTCAACTTCCTGTAAGTTCCCTCCGTGGGCCACCAATGGAGAGAAAGTTCCAGACATCCCAGAAAATACATAACACAGAGTCATGTCAGACTACTGTCACTGGGTGATAAGAACCACAGTCTTTCTCCTGTTTTCACAACAATGATGTTATCTGCTGTAGTCAACCCAAACTGGGATCACACACACACACACACACACACACACACACACACACACACACACACACACACACACACACACACACACACACACACACACACACACACACACACACACACACACACACACACACACACACACACACACACACACACACACACACACACACACACACACACACACACACAGGGCTAAATGCTTTCATGCACCCAAATGAGCAGCATATTATACTCCAGTTGGAGCCTGAGATAATGAAGAATGGTGCCGGAGGAGATGCCTGCCATTTTACGGGCTCCTAACCAATTGTGCTATTTCGTGTGTTTTGTGAGTTTTTTCACGTTGTTTGTAACTTATTTTGTACGTAATGTTTCTGCCACTGTCTCTTTAACCGAAAATAGCATTTTTTATTTAACGAGTCGGACGCGAAGGATTTACTGCAGATACCGGACCAGGCCCAAATCCCCGTCATTCTCATGAAGAGAAGACACCGATACAGGGGAAGCAGGTCCGGGTGCCTTGTTAGAATTCGTCGGCGAGTGGGTAACCCGCCTCTACCATCCGTCCTATTGGCCAACGTGCAATCATTGGAGAATAAATTGGATGAGCTCCGTTCAAGTCTATCCTACCAACGAGACATTAAAAACTGTAAATCTTATGTTTCACTGAGTCGTGGCTGAATGACGACATGGACAATATACAGTTGGCTGGGTTTTCCGTGCAAGACAGAA